TTTTTAGTAGAGATGGGGTTTCACCATGTTGGCCAGGCTGGTCTTGAACTCCTGACCTCAGGTGATCCGCCTGCCTCAGCCTCCCAAAGTGCTGGGATTAAAGGTGTGAGCCACCTCGCCTGTCCCTAACTGGCTTTTTGAAGTGCTGGGATTAAAGGCGTGAGCCACTGAGCCCGGCCCTGGTCTCGAACTCCTGACCTCAGGTGACCTGCCCGCCTCAGCTTCCCATAGTGCTGGGATTAAAGGTGTGAGCCCCTGCGCCCGGCCCTGACTTTTTGGTGTGCTGGGATTACAGGTGTGAGCCACTGTCCAGCCCTAACTGGCTTTTGTGTTTGTTTGATTTCTATATTGATTTTCATCAGTTTGTAGTACATAACTTATAAGTGCTAAACGGCTTGACACACATTCCTATGATCTCCGTTAAAGTCTTCCCTTTCTTGTTTTTCCAGGACAACTGCCAGCTCCTCTTCAATCCCCGCCAGGCTGACTACGACAAGGATGAGGTTGGGGACCGCTGTGACAACTGTCCTTACGTGCACAACCCCGCCCAGATCGACACAGACAACAACGGAGAGGGTGACGCCTGCTCCGTGGACATTGACGGGGACGGTGAGTGCTTCTGCTCCTTCCAACACATGCAGTTTTTTTTTTTAATTTTTTATTTTTTGAGACGGAGTTTCACTGTTGTTGCCCAGGCTGGAGTGCAATGGCACCATCTTGGCTCACTGCGATCTCCACCTCCTGGGTTCAAGCGATTCTCCTGCTTCAGCCTCCTGAGTAGCTGGGATCACAGGCACGCATCACCACACTCAACTAATTTGGTATTTTTAGGAGAGACAGGGTTTCACCATGTTGGCCAGGCTGGTCTCAGACTCCTGACCTCAAGTGATCTGCCTGCCTTGGCCTCCCAAAGTGCCGGGATGACAGGCGTGAGCCACTGCGTCCGGCCCAATGCATGCGTTTTAAGGGTCACAGTTGGAGGCATTTGCAAGCTTCATGTTTTATTCTGAATTTTGATAAGCTCCTCTCATTTTTACACCACTATAAGATTAAATGATTCGTTCAGTTATTCCCATAGGGGCCCATGCTTATTCTGCCTTGCCTTTTCCTGAGGGTCGGGGACACCGGCCACAGGACTGCCCTAGAGAAAGCTATGCATTTGGTATCCTCCTTTCTCTGACCCCCGCCTCGCAGTCCTGGGCCTCATGCTTCTTCATGGCATCTTTTCTAAAGTTCACCCTTCATTCAAAAATTCCAAGAAGCCATTACATGTTTTCATCAAACTGAGCTTCCAGGAGCCGTGGGTCTCTCCTGTGCCCCCATCCTGGGACATCTGTCTCTGTGCCCTTATTTCTAAATATGTATTGGAAAGCTCCTCCCACAGGGCTCAGTTAGAATAATGTGGGTGTATTGTGGCTACCTCTGCCACCGCTCCCGGTTGATGCTTTACCTAGAGAGCTTGCTGGTCTCGGTAAGCGAGCTCTGCAACCCAGTGCCACAGTCACCGCACGGCCGCTCCTTCTCTCGGGGCGCCTGGAGACCAGGCGAGCACTTCTGTAGAACCAGCAAGAGCTTGGGGCAGGCTCACGTCCACGCCGAGGCTCGACCCCAGCTCCTCCACACTGGGCCTCATGGGGTCCTCCTCCCAGTCTGGCGCCAGCCACACCCCTTCTGAGCCACCCCAACCTGCTGTTCGGTCTCACGGCGGGTTTCTCAATCTAATCTTTTCCCCTAATTTCTGCCTCCACCCTCTTCTCGGTCTCGGGAATGTGGTGGGTTGCTGTCTAAGGGCTCGTGGTGGCCAGGGGGCTCCTCGGCTCTCATCCAGGGTGGCGTCTGTGATGTGCTGGATGCAGATCTCAAGCTCCCAGTCCCTTCCGTTTTTATTTTTTAGGGGCTCCTTACTTCCCTTCTCCAGACCTCACCTGACCAAAGCAACGCGAGCGTCTCAGCTCAGTTCTGGCTCTTCCTGTGGACTCGCTGCCGTGTCATGTTTTGCTCTGTCATTTGTGACACTGTCACTGATGGGATTGTTTAGTTCAATGCTAGTTTATATTTTTATAACTTCAGTATCAATGCAACTCATCATTTTCAGATTTCTTAAAATAAGATATGACATCGAAAAACCCTGCCACTGTCTGCCATTGTTTTTTCCTACTCATGTGCATGGATGATAAGCTCCTAGGAATTCAACGAGTACTTTCTGAGTGGGTATTAGGGAGAAACAAGCAATTTAGCAAGCTCAGATTTACACGGCGACAGCACATTCAGCTGCCCCTCCTGCAACATTGCCCAGAAGTCTCCAAAAGTTGGTTCTATTTCAAATGAAAGGAATTTGAGTTGTAATGAAATACGTCGTATGTTCTTCTAAAATCTAATAGTCTTTATATTTTACTATATTCTTAGGCTTCTTTTTATTATCATTAAATAAAAGTGTGGCTGTAAGTAATTTCACGTGATAGGAACCCAGTGAGCTTCTCCTAAACTCACCTGTCCTTGTGGTTTGTTTTTGTTTTTTTCCCCCTTTGAACACCAACAGATGTCTTCAATGAACGAGACAATTGTCCCTACGTCTACAACACTGACCAGAGGGACACGGACGGTGACGGTGTGGGGGATCACTGTGACAACTGCCCCCTGGTGCACAACCCCGACCAGGTGAGGGCAACCGTGAACAGGCAGGGTTGGTGGGGTTGGGGGTCCTCATCAGAGGGACTTGGATGGTGACGGTATGGGGGGGTCACTGTGACAACTGCCCCCAGTGCACAACCCCGACCAGGTGAGGGCAGCTGTGGGCAGGCGGGCTTGGGGGTCCTCATCAGAGGGATGTGGACGGTGACGGTGTGGGAGGTCACTGTGACAACTGCCCCCGGTGCACAACCCTGACCAGGTGAGGGCAGCTGTGGGCAGGCGGGCTTGGGGGTCCTCATCAGAGGGACTCGGACGGTGATGGTGTGGGGGGTCACTGTGACAACTGCCCCCTAGTGCACAACCCCGACCAGGTGAGGGCAACTGTGAACAGGCAGGGTTGGTGGGGTTGGGGGTCCTCATCAGAGGGACTTGGACGGTGACGGTGTGGGGGTTCACTGTGACAACTGCCCCCGGTGCACAACCCTGTCCAGGTGAGGGCAGCCATGGACAGGCGAGTCTCAGGTCCTCATCAGTCCCCTCCACGGGGCCTTGGCAGTCTTCCATGAGCTCCGCCAAGACAGGATAACATGGAGTTTTCAATGATTTCAATCGAACACATTTACTCAACTCAAATCGCAGCACAATTCTTGTATCTCAGTGGCCACAGGCCAAATGAATAAATGCCTTCACCTCATCAGCTGGAGCGAGGTTGCATCTTCACAGAATTCTCTCCCCATTTTCCTGATGCCAACTAGAAATTGGCTTTATTCCCAGGTTTGCGTTTGAAAGAGACAAGGGAAGACAATCATCTTGACGCAGCCCATAGGACATATTCTAGCAAATGATGTAAAAAAAAGACATAATTACTTGGTAGTTCGTGCTTTTCCAGTGAAGAAGCACAACGTCTTCCTTTAGCGAAGTGAATTACTGTGGAGAGGTGGCAGAGGGTGGAGAGATTCCTGGCCCCAGTGCTGGTCCTGACGTCAGGGTCGGTGTGACCTTAGACCAGCCGCCCTTGCATGACCCGGGGCTTGTGCTGCAGGACGAGGAGGCGGCTCTCAGGCTTGCGTCCTGCTGGTTCCTCTCCACCTCCTCAAATTGGCACTCCTCTGCTGTTTCCCTCACGCCCCATCCCCTAGACCGACATGGACAACGACCTCGTCGGGGACCAGTGTGACAACAACGAGGACATAGATGACGACGGCCACCAGAACAACCAGGACAACTGCCCCTACATCTCCAACGCCAACCAGGCCGACCATGACAACGACGGCCAAGGTGACGCCTGCGATCACGATGATGACAACGATGGTGTCCCCGACGACAGGGACAACTGCCGGCTTGTGTTCAACCCAGACCAGGAGGACTTGGATGGTGGGTGCTCTCCCAGCTCATCGGGTGTGGAGGAAAACGGCTTCTGAGCAACCCACTAGGGCAGAGACGTGTTAGCACAGAGATCAGCTTAAATCTGCTGCTGGAAAAAGGGCAGTTACTTTGGGCCTCTTAAAGCTATGGGTCCACGCAATATGAGTTTCCTCTGCCCTGACACTCAGCACATTCTTGACTGTGTGTACCCTTCAACAGGTGTGCTGCCTCAAGTGTGTGTGTGCGTTGGGAGGAGGAGAAATCCCTGCCCCCATGTCACTGCTAGATCGTTGATGATCTCCTAGAAACAAAGCCAGTTATAAACATAGGATGAATTGGAGATTTGGCATATGGGGCCAGGCAGGGGACAGGGAGGATTTTTTTTAAGAGCATTTTTTTAAGAGCAAAACAAACAAAAGTGGCACGAGTGTGAAGCGTGAGAGGAAGAGCTGCTTTGCTCAGGGGTGAGCATAAATAGGTAGCCCATAGGCACGGGGGGTGCTGAGGAAGGAGCTGGATGGGCTGCAGTCCTCAAAGTCAGAGTCCCTGAGTAATAAACAAGGGCACCGCTGTGCTCTGGGGATTCCTGGGTGGCTGTGAGAAAGTGGTCCTCACTCGGAGTTGGGGTCTGGCTGACACAGGCTCTTTTGGAAGCTGTGTCCTTGACAGATGGAGATAAGGACTTGAGGGGCGTCTGAGACAGCATGACTCAGAAGTACGTGGGAGACGCTGGGATCAGAAGGGCAGCTCCCGGGTCCTCCCTGAGCAGCATGAAGGGATGGAGTGAGCACAGGAAGCCTCATCTGGACTCCGTGCTCTGGTGGGCAGGGGCTTGCTCCCCAGGCAGCCTTTCCACAGAGAGGGCCTGGGGTGGAGAGAAGCTGACAGGGAGAGCAGCATTTCAGCATTTCAGAGTGCCCTGATAACAACTACGTGCCTGCTGCACGGTAGATGGAGTATGTTCTTGAACAGAACGGAAATTAGTTGAAGAATATGATGAGATATTCAATCCAACTTACCTTTCCTCCTAAAACAGAAGGCCACGTGAAAGCTAATTCAGTACGTTGCTATCTGCCTGTCAGGTTATCGTCATTGCCGTAGACTGACTGGACACATGTGGCAAATTCGTGGTCCCCCCCGTTTGCACCAGGCCCACCTCATCCCCACTCCCCACTATGCCACAAGCCTGTTGAAAACTTGACAAGGACCTCCTAAACAGCAGAAATCCATGTCTCCCTAGGAAAAACCATTTTAGTGTGAGTTCCGCTTTGATGCCCAATAGACTATAAAAGGCAGGGATGACTAAGAAAAGTAATAACAGACATTCAGAAAACTATCCAAAAAGAAAGCTGGAAATGCAGGTTGATATTACTTGACAGCCATTCAGGTTTTATACCCTCAGCGTTGAGTTTGGAACACGGTGAGAAATGGCTTTATGTGAATTTACTGTGCTGGCCTTTGCTGTGTATTTATCACAAAAATGTTGTGAAAAGAGTTGAGGCTCCTCACAGCAGTGAAGTCAAATGTTTTGGAGGTTGCAGAGCATGAATCCACAAAACACTGCAAAGCACTCAGTCTTAGATGTTCGGGGAAAGATGCACTCATGTTTCTCAGACATAGAAAAGCAAATGGCAAACCACCGACTTTGCTTCTTTGTTTTGTGTGTGTGTTTTTTATTTATTTCTATTTTTTATTTTTTGGCATGTTCTTTGTGCATAGGTGATGGACGGGGTGATATTTGTAAAGATGATTTTGACAATGACAACGTCCCAGATATTGATGATGTGTGTCCTGAAAATAATGCCATCAGTGAGACAGACTTCAGGAACTTCCAGATGGTCCCCTTGGATCCCAAAGGGACCACCCAAATTGATCCCAACTGGGTCATTCGCCATCAAGGCAAGGAGCTGGTTCAGACGGCCAACTCGGACCCCGGCATCGCTGTAGGTGAGTCTGTGAGTCATGGTGGTGGTGCCAGCGTTGCTCTGGGGGAGGCACCCACAGAGGATGCAGACTGTGCTTTAAGATCATGCAGGTGGGATGCTGTGTGGTCTTTCTGGAAGCCCCCAGCCTTCCATGGTCTGTGAAACTGTCTGCCTAGATAAGCTTGACAGGCACATGCACCTGCCGCTCTGAAGTCTCTGAAATGTCAGTAAATCATTTTATTTTATAGACTTGGTCTATGAAATGGGACCTCATAACCCCCTCAGTACTCTTGTAAGTTGGATCTTAAATCCCTTCAATTCCAATAATCTCATGATAAAAGAGCCCACTGGGGATGAAGAGGGGAGCCCGCCCTGCCCGCTGGGCATCCATTCTCAGATGGTCACAGAGCCAAGCTGGGGATTGCCTGAAACCTGTTTCTTTTTTCTTTTTCTTTTTCTTTTTCCTTCCTTCCTTCCTTCCTTCC